GAAAGATTAATAAAAACAAGTAAAAGAGTTTATCCAATTATTTGAGTTTTGGGTTGTGGGTGGCCAGAGTTGTCTCAGCAGCTCAGGGTGCCAGGTGGGTACCAGCCCTGGATAGGGTACCCTACCATGGCAGGGTCACACACACATACACACAGACAGGGACCCAGGACACATGCAAATGAACCTAACATGCAAACATGCACATCTTTGGGATATGGAGGAAACTAGACATACCTCATGCAGACATGGAAAGAACAGACAGTGACCCTGGTCAAGGAATCTATTTATTTTTCTCATCCATGTTGTAATGAAATAGTGGTGATGACAACAGTGCTATTTGAGGGCCTGCTGTAAAATAAAAGCCTGCAACTGCACCTGGAAAAGGATCATTTACGTCAGATACAATGGGAAATGCAATTTCATCAAAAGAATAGGTATGCTCTTCATTGATGTCTAGTTTTTTCTTTGACATCCGCTACTTCTAACATCTGCCTTAATTTTTCCCTATTAAAAATACCTTTCCTAAATTGATGAAATTGAACAGAATAAATATTTTTCATATTCAATTTTATGGGAGTGACTGTCTGTTGGAAGTTTGAAGACATGAGTGTTTACAAATATTTCTTTTCAGAAACTTTGGGGAGACTCTTGTATTCAATAATGATATTTTCCCTTCAAAAATATGTAGGTCAGTACGTTTCTACACTGCTGGAAAATACCATTGCACAGTACAATGGTAAAAATTTTGGAGGGCTCCAGTTCTCTTTAAATTTACTAAATATACTGTAGATAATAAAGTGTGAGGCTTGACCGTAACAACAGTATCTTGAGATATGTTACACGCAGTCATGTGTCACTTAATAGCAGGGATGCATTCCGAGAAATGCATCCTTAGGCGATTTTGTCCTTGTGCAAACATCACAGAGTGCACTTACAGAAACCCAAGTTTTGCAGCCTGCTGCATACCTAGGATGTATTATGGTGTAGCCTAGTGCTCCTAGGGTACAGACCTGTACAGCATGTGGCTATACTGAATACTGTAGGCAACTGGAACATAATAGTAAGTATATGTGTCTGTAAGCATAGAAAAGGTACAATAACAAAACAGTATTAAAAATTTAAAAAGTTATACTCGTATAGGACATTTACCGGGAATAGAGCTTGTGGGGCTGGAAGTTGCTCTGGGTGAGTCAGTGTGTGAGTGAGGCGTGAATGTGAAGGCCTAGGAAAGGACCGTGTACTACTGTAGACTTCATAAACACTGTACACTTAGAATACCCTAAATGTGTAAAAACACATTTTTCTTTTTTAATCATAAATTAAGTTTAGTATAACCTTACTTCATAAACTTATTTTTCATTTTTAAGCATTTGACTCTTCTGTGATACTATCTAGCTGAAAACACAAATATTGCACAGTTGAACAAAACATTTATATTGTTATTCTACAAGATTTTCTCTATTTAAAATTTATATATTTTTACTTCTTAAACTGTATTCATTAAGAATTAAGACACAGACACACTAGCCTAGGCCTGCACAGGGTCGTCTCTTCCACCTTCATGTCTTGTCGCACCAGAAGGTCTTCGGGGCAAGGACGGGTATGGAGCTTTCATCTCCTAAGGGTAACAGTGCTTCCTTCTGGAATCCTTCCTGAAGGACCTAAGGTTGTTTTACAGTTAAATCGTTATTTTTTTTTTCAGTAGAAGCAGCACACTGAAATAATATAAAAAGTGTAGTATAGTAAATACAAAAACCAGCAACAGTTGTTCATGATTATCATCAAGCATATGTAGTGAACTCAATTGTATGTGCTATACATTTGTATGACTGGCAGCTCAGGTGGTTTGTTCACGCTGGCGTCACCACAAACATGTGCGTCGCACCTGGCGTTACCACATTGTGATGGCTACAACATCAGTAGGCCACCATCTCCTGGGACCGACGTTGTATATGAGGCCTATCAGTGAGCTGTCTTTAGGCAACTCACAACCATATATTACTATAGAATGTTCCAATGATCTTTCTACACGATAATCATTTACATTATTCATACCAAAGTTAATTGAAAAAAATAATTTCAAGCTCTTTTAACCGAAAAAATGTATAGCAGAGTCACACAGACTAAGTTCCATTTCCAGAGTGGTTCATTTGGATTTTCCATGCATGACAATGACTGGTCATTGTGGTTCTCTTTAGCAGGCTTATTTGATGGATTTCCATTGATAACCCTTGTCTTTGGGGAACAATTATCAGGACACCTTCTGTTGGAAAATGTGTGCCTTCTAAGAAGAATTAGCAGTAACAGTTAAAAATAATAATGACCCTAAGAAGACATGATGATTTATTTCAAATATTCCTGGACATTAAAGAAAAACATCAAAAATCTTTTTGTCACACGTTTTCCTTTTTTATCACTGTTTCTCACTCTTCCCATTTACGGTGGCTATTCAGCCTGTGTCTTTGACCATAAGAGCTCTCGGCCCAGCTGATGGACACAGCATTCTGGTCATAAGTTGAAGGGCTGCCCTGATAAAATGGAAAGTTTTTCTTCCTTATAAATGTCACTTTTAATATACTATAAATAGCACAGATTTTTGCTTTAGGGATAGTGAATGTGGAATTAAATTCAGAATTTTCTTATTTAAAAAGACAACAAAAATGATTGTAGATGATATTGAACTATTTTCTGTTGTGTTTTTAAACAGATTTTTGTAGACTGCTCTCAGAAATTATTTCTAGAATAAAACTAGAAATAAAAAAAACTAGAACTGAAAAAACTATGTAAATAGAGATTTCATAAACATGTCAATAATATTCAATATCTAAGCACTGGTATTTATTTCCTAAGTATTTCTACATAACCCAGTTTGTACTTAAGTAATATCATGATAAATAAAAATAACTTTAGAAATAGCTGAGATTCCTTTCTCATATTCTAAAAAAGTTCTATATGTTTCTCAGTTTAAAAACTAATAAAACAGAAAATATTGTTCTGCATTATACTAATACATTAAAGTACACCCTGATGCCGATGCAAAGACAATGGATACGGACACAACTTAGTTTCTGTTCAGTTGGAAATACATTTTTATTTGGAAATCTTTTTATTTCCCTACTAGTAAGTTTCATAGCTTATTTGAATACAAATAGTAGCAACTAATTTACTGATGACATACTAAATTTAAACCATAGATATGGAGACAATAGCCCACAATGATGAATTTCATCCATTCAACTGAATGGTGCACCAGTTCAGTTCAAAATCGTGTTCTGTGAGTATGGAATGGAGTTTCAAGTCGATTGATTTAGACAGAGAATCATATCAAGGAAAAAGTGAGAGGATCAAAAAGAACAGAATCAATACCCCATTATTGAAATCATCAATGAAAAGAGTCAAACTCTGTAAAATATTTGAAAAGATTTATTCTGAGTCAAATACGAGTGGCCAATGGTCCATGACACAGCCCTCAGGAGGTCCTGAGAACAACTGACCAAGGTGATTGAGCCACAACTTACTTTTATACATTGTAGGGAGACATAAGACATCAATCAATACACATAAGACATACATTAATTCAGTCTGGAAAGGCAGGACAACTAGAAGTGGGAGCTTCCAAGTCATAGGTAGAGTCAAAGATTATTTGTTTGTTTTTGTTTTTGTTTTTTGAAACAGAGTCTCACTCTGTCACACAGGCTGGAGTGCAGTGGCGCGATCTCAGCTCACTGCAACCTCCGTCTCCCGGGTTCATGCCATTCTCCTGCCTCAGCTTCCTGAATAGCTGGGACTAGAGGCACCTGCCACCATGCCCGGGTATTTTTTTTGTATTTTTAGTAAAGACAGGGTTTCACCATGTTAGCCAGGATGGTCTTAATCTACTGACCTCATGATCCGCTCCACCTACCTCGGCCTCCCAAAGTGCTGGGACTACAGGTATGAGCTACCGTTCCCGGCCAGGTTTTTTTTTTTTTTCTTTTTTTCTTTTTTCATATTGGAAATTAATTGAAAGAGTTAAGTTATTGTCTAAAGACATGGAATCAATAGAAAGGAATGTCTCGGTTAGAATAAAGGGTTGCAGAGACCAATGTTTTTATCATGCATAGAAAGCCTCCAGGTAGCAGGTTTCCGAAAACAGATCGCCTGTGTTTCTTATCGGAAGTAAGGAGCCTCTTCTATCGGTAATTCCAAAAGGGAAGAGGGTATAATGAAGCATGTCTGGCTCCCTGAACTAGTTTTTCAGGTTAACCTTGGAATCACCCTGGCTGAGAGGATGTGTCCATTCAGATGGTTGACAGGCTTTGACTTTTATTCTTGGTTTGCAAAATGCAAGTGAATTCAGTATTTGTGTTGTCAAAACTTAGCACTGAAACTTACTTTTGAATCAGACACTATAAATGGACAGAGCCTGGCTGCGGGCCTGGAATAAAGTAGTGGAACCCTTTTTTATGCATTGATGGATGAATGCATGAGATTTCTAATTTATTATTTAATTCAATTGCTTATCCATCAAATGTTGATTGAGCATTGGGTAATGATGTGTAACAGACACCGTACCGGTCCTGGAAGCATAAAAATAAATAGGGTATGAGTATTCACTCTTGCAGTGTTTCTGATACTGCTGTTTTAGATTTCTGTAGTCTGCTGTGTCTGACTGCTGACGCTGATATCTGGTTACTCACTATAGGAGTACGTAGAATTTCATGACTAGAAAAATATAATCTAGACATTATCTGGAACACTGAATAAAAGCAGGACTATATTTTCCTCTCAACAAAATGCATTTATTTGCACTTTATAATGTTTATAAAAGTGCTATACTGCAGATATTCTAAAACCAGAAGACATTTTCTCAATTTAATTTTTAGGAACAATTAATATTTTTCTGATACTAGAGATTTTCTCATTTTAATAAATCAAAAATGGTGTCTGTTTTGTGTTATAAGTGGCTCTCCATAGAAAATTTAACTTTTTTTTTCTCCTTTCTTTTCTCTTTCCAATAGTTTTACCTAGCCACACTTGTGGAAATCCTGGAGAAATCCTGAAAGGTGTTCTCCACGGAACGAGATTCAACATAGGAGACAAAATCCGATACAGCTGCCTCTCTGGCTACATCTTGGAAGGCCACGCCATCCTGACCTGCATTGTTAGCCCAGGAAATGGTGCCTCGTGGGACTTCCCAGCTCCCTTTTGCAGAGGTACAGTGCTACAAGGGGGCTGGTGAGCAGACTCCAGGGCAGGGCAATGGCTTTGGAGCTGCTTTTATAAAAGTTTCCACTTAAATGAAAAGATGACATGTTGGGATGACTCTCACTGTGTCAGCTCATTCTGCTCCTGAAAGCAATATTGCATGTTACTACTATGTAAGAAATAACATGTAACATGTAATATTTAATATTACATGTTATTAGTATGTAGGTAATAACATGTAATGTGTCATAATAATATATAATATTACATGTTATAATATGAAAGAAATCATGATTGGACCACATAAGGTCAATAGCAAGTTTAGGACTTGTGATATGGTTTGGTTGTGTCCTCACCCAAATCTTATCTTGAACCGTAACTCCCACAATTCCCACATGTTGTAGGAGGAACCTCGTGGAAGGTAATTTAATCACAGGGGCAGGTGTTTCCTGTGCCATTCTCATCATAGCAAATAAGTCTCATGAGATCTGATGGTTTCAGGAAGAGGAATTCCCCTGCACAAGCTCTCCCTTTGCCTGCTGCCATCCATGTAAGACATGACTTATTCCTCCTTGCCTTCTGCTATGATTGTGAGGCTTCCCCAGCCACTTGGAACTGTTAGTCTATTAAACTTCTTTCCTTTGTAAATTGTCCAGGCTCAGGTATGTCTTTATCAGCAGCGTGAAAAGGAACTAATACAGTAGATTGGTACCAGGAGTGGGGTACTCCTGAAAAGATACCAAAAGATGTGGAAGCAACTTTGGAACTGGATAATAGGCAGAGGTTAGAACAGTTTGGAAGGCTCAGAAGAAGCCAGGAAAATGTGGGAAAGTTTGAAACTCTCTAGAGACTTGTTGGATGACTTTGACCAAAATGCTGATAATGATAGGGACAATGAAATCTAGGCTGAGGTAGCCTCAGATGGAGATAAGAAACTTGTTGGGAACTGGGCCACAGGTGACTCTTGTTATGTTTTAGCAAAGATACTGGCAGCATTTTGCCCCTGCCCTAGAGAGCTGTGGAACTTTGAACTTGAGAGAGATGATTTGGGGTATCTGGCAGAAGAAATTTCTAAGAAGCAAAGCATTCAAGAGGTGACTTGGGTGCTGTAAAGGCATTCAGTTTTATAAGGGAAGCAGAACATAAAAGTTCATGAACTTTGCAACCTGACAATGTGATAGAAAAGAAAATCCCACTTTCCAAGGAGAAATTCAAGCCAACTGTAGAAATTTGCATAAGTAATGAGAAGCCAAATGTTAATCCCCAAGACAATGGGGAAAATGTCTCCAGGGCATGTCAGAGGTCTTCACAGTAGCTCCTCCCATCACAGGCCTGGAGGCCTAGGAGAAAAAAGTGGTTTTGCGGGCCAGACCAAGGGTCCCCATGCTGTGTACAGCCTAGAGACTTGGTGCCCTGCATCTTAGCTGTTCCAGCTGTGGCTGAAAGGAGCAACACAGAGATCAGGCTGTGGCTTCAGAGGGTGTAAGCCTCAAGCCCTGGCAGCTTACACATGGTGTTGAGCCTGCAAATGTGTAGAAGTCAAGAATTTGGGTTTGGGAACCTCTGCTTAGATTTCAGAGGATGTATGGAAATTCCTGGATGTCCAGATAGGATTTTGCTATGGAGGGTGGGCGGTGGGGGCGGCTCATGGAGAACCTTTGCTAGGGCAGTGCAGAAGGGAAATGTTGGGTCAGAGCTCCCCCACGGAGTCCCTACTGGGGCACTGCCTAGTTGAGCTGTGAGAAAAGGGCCACCATCCTTCAGATGCCAGAATGGTAGATCCACTGACACTTTGCATCATGTACCTGGAAAAGCTGCAGACACTTAATGCCAGCCCATGAAAGCAGCCAGGAGGGAAGCTGTACTCTTCAAAGCCACAGGGGCATAGTTGCCCAAGGGTGTGGGAATTCACCTCTTACATCAGCATGACCTGAATGTAAGACACAAAGTCAAAGGAAATCATTTTGGAGCTTTAAGATTTGACTGTCCTGCTGGGTTTTGTACTTGCATAGGGCCTATAGACCCTTTGTTTTGGCCAATTTCTCCCATTTTTGAAAGGCTGTATTTACCCAATTCCTGTACCAGCATTATGTCTAGGAAGTAACTAGCTTGCATTTTATTTTACAGGCTTCTAGGAGGAAGGGACTTGCCTTGTCTCAGATAAGACTTTGGAATGTGGACTTTTGAGTTAATGCTGAAATAAGCTAAGACTTTAGGGGACTGTTGGGAAGGCATGGTTGGTTTTGAAATGTGAGGACATGAGATTTGGGTGGGGCCAGGAACAAAATGATACGGTTTCACTGTGTCCCCACCAAAATCTCATCTTGAATTGCAACTCCCACAATTCTCACATGTTGTGGGAGGAAGCCACTGGGAGGTAATCAAATCATAGAGGCAGTTCTTTCCGTGCTGTTCTTGTGATAGTAAATAAGTCTCTCAAGATCTGATGGTTTTAAAAATGGGAGTTTCTCTGCACAAGCTGACTTTGCCTGCTGCTATGCATGTAAGGCGTGGCCTGGTCCTCCTTGCCTTCCACCATGATTGTAAGGCTTCCCCAGCCACATAGAACTGTACATCCATTAAACCTCTTTCTTTTGCAAATTGTGCAGTCTTGGGTATGCATTATCACCAGCGTGAAAATAGACTAATTCAACTTATTATTATATCCTCCAAATATCCAAAATGGTTTTCATTGTATTTTTCAATCTTCAGGGATTTCCGCCTATTTTCATCATCTCTTGTTGCAGGATTCGAAGATTTGATGCCAATGTTTATGTCCTTCTAGCCCTGTTGCCTCTGTTTTATCTTTTGTTACTAAAAATTACAAACACTCCTTGACCATTTAGTGTGTATATTTTAAGAACTCTTTCAACACTCTCAGACTTCTCAGATAAGGTGATTGTAAGTTAGTGCCCTCTTCCAAGTGCCATTGTCACATTTCAGAGCAAGATGAGAATTCCTTTACCTGGAGCACTGCTATTCTCACATTTTCCAAAAATATTATTTTACTGTTCCAATGACTTTAGAAAAGAGCATACTTCAATTCTTAGGTTTTGACTTTCCTAAGAAAAACTCATCTTTTGAGTACAAAATTAAAAGCATAGGTAACATTTATTGAGGTCTTAATGAGATTCCAGAAAAAGTGCTAAACACTTCACTTGGATTATACCATTTAACTCTCATAACAAGCCACAAATGTAGTAATTATTTACACTCATTTAAAAGGTAAAGAAATAGAGTTTTAATTTCCAAAAGGTTCCAGAGATAGTAAATGTTAAGACCCAAACATAAATCTGGCTTTTAATCTAGGCTTGAAAGCATGTCAATTCACAGCCTCCACTGCAAGTGATAATGTGACATTATATTATTTCCTTCAGTATGCTTTTCGTTTATCCTTTGCTAGTTATTGCATATTTGCCTATTTTTTTCTTTTTTTGTAAAATGTTATAGTCTTATGAGATCTGCTTGATGCTTATTATATTCGTAATGGCATATGATGACCACGACTACTACTACTACCACCACCCCACAAGGTAGTATGTATTGTCCACTTATTCTAAGTCAGCCATTACTTTAGCAAATTTAATCTTTGTAAGTAGGCATTTTATGAAAGATTCATATTATAGGTGGAGAATCTGGATGTTATGTAGGAAAAGTGACTTTCTCAAGGTGTTCCTGCTAATAGATGTTAGAGTTGGGATTAATCATATTCAAATTATTCCTCTGTCCTAGACAAATTCATAAGATGATGACTTCCTCCTCTAGATGCCCATTATTTCTTCTAAAATGCTCATTTTCTCTGCACATTCCTGAAGTTTATTATGTCCCTTTTCATTTTTTTCTTATTATTAATTACTTTTCATCTTTATGTTGTCAAAACAGTGGTGACCTCAAAATCTAAACCTATATCCCATTTCCCTTGCTTTCCACAGATTTTTCTCAAGTAATTGATCTCATTTAAGGACAGTCTCATTGGGCATCCTAAATATATTCTTCCTTCTTCCTTATTTCTACCATTATTTCCATTACATTCTCACTCTCAGAAAAAAAAACCAAAGTGACTCTGGCTTTGTTCTCTTTATTTACTTTATAATAGATCATGTAGATCTCAAGTCATGCTCTTTGTTTCCTTTCGAAGTGTCTCTGCCGTACTTCCATTTCCACATATACTGTACTATTTTAGTTATTTATTTCCCTTCTCAACCAGACTGGCTTCAAGTTTGTTGAATGAGCCCCCATGTCTAGAATGTCAGCTGTCATCTGTATTAGTCCATTCTCATGCTACTATGAAGAAATACCTGAGACTAGGTAATTTATAAAGAAAAGAGGTTAATTGACTCACAGTTGTGCGTGGCTGTGGAGGCCTCAGGAAACTTACAATCATGATGGAAGGCACCTCTTCACAGGGCAGCAGGAGCGAGAAGTGCAGAGTGAAGAGGGGAAACCCCTTATAAAACCACGAGATCTTATGAGAACTCACTCACTATCACAAGAACAGCATGGAGGAGCCACCCCCCCTGATCTAACCTCCTCCCACAAGGTCCCTCCCAAACACATGGGGAGTAGGGGATTAGAATTCAGATTACAATTCAAGGTGAGATTTTCAGCGCGGACACAGCCAAACCAAATCATCATTCTGCTTTCTACTCCTGCCTCACTCTCTCCTAACATCCATCTTCATTCTAACCTTTCTTTTGTCAGCCAAACCACTTTGGTGACTCAACAAGAATAAAGTACAAACCTACAACATGGCTTCCTATGTGCTGCTTACCTCATCATAACTAAATGGTGCAATTCCACCTGGTAGTGTACCCAACATGAGTGTAAAGCTTTTTGCTCTACAAAGCTGTGTTTTTCTGTGGCTAACCTATCCTGGCTGGCCTGAGAACTATCTGCTTCTCTGTGTTCCACGACATTATGTGGTTAGCTTGCTATCTGTCATGGTGGGACTATACCATAAGAATTGGGCAAACACTGCAAAGTAGGTTTTCAGTTTATTTGTTTGTTT